AAAAAAAAAAAAGATCTTGAATTGTTCTTCTGACTAGTCAGAATGTAAATATCTAAAATTATAGGATAGTCAGGATAGTCAAAATGTATTTGTTCCGAGTCAAAACTCGTTATTAGAAATCTAGATTGTAATTAAAGATAGTCAGACAAGCTGATTTTATGTTAAAATGGCCTGCCATACACTTACCGTCCACTTTATGCTGCACGTCGCCCTTCACTTTATCATGCAAATAAGACATTTCTTAACACAAAAAGTCATTTTACTTTTTTGTTTTAACTGTGCAAATTAGGAAATGTGAGACACCAAATTATTTGCAAGGGATTTAATTTGTACAGTAAAAGAAAAAACACACAAGCATGAGAAATAAAGACCAAAAATAGAYGGTTTTAACACTGCATGCATTGGTATTTTAGAGAAAGATTTCATTCGATGCTTTTATCTTTTAGCCACCAGCAAAAAGAAAGTTTGAGTTCAGCAAAGAGCGACAGTCTGCCCCTGGTCCTCCTCCGTCAAAGAAAATGAGTCCCACTGCATCACCTGACACCAAACCCACGACCCCCAAACACAAGCCGAGCCCTGTCAGCACACCCAGCCCCAGCACCTCTAAAGGTACGTTCTAATAAATCAGTTAATTCTTTTTCTTGATGTGGAAAAAAAAAAAGTTTAAATTTGCCACTTATCTCTGCCGCTTSGTCAGCGCAAAAGTCTGCTGAGAAGAAGAAAGAGAGCCGGCCCAAACCGGAACCTAAACCTAAACCAAAGCCAAAATCCAAAAGTGAACAACAGGTGCCATTTCACCGGATCATGGAGGGGGTGGTGTTCGTCCTCAGCGGCTTCCAGAACCCTTTCAGAGGGGAGATCAGGGACAAGGCGCTGGAGATGGGAGCAAAGTATCGACCCGACTGGACACCTGACGCCACACACCTTATGTRAGTCACGTCTCCATGTGGTGTTGAATAGTAAAGGTGCACATGCTCACTTTGTCTTCTGTAAGCATTTATTGCAGTACTTTTACAATATGCATTTCTAATGACAATCTTACACATTACACATATTTTTTTATTTTTGCAAACCATATAAATAAAGGAAAATTGTCATCAGTTCATAGACATCATTATCTCATTTTCTGTTTTCCCATCACATCAGGCTGTTAGAAACAACTTTTATCAGTTTCCTTGAGGCTAAAGCTGCCAAGAAATGTTTCTGTTTAAAGGTGTTCAGTGATAAACGAGGGAGAAAGGCAAATRAACCAAAAGATCAATGTGTTGAAATCTGCTGAGTGTAGATAAAAGAAGAGAACAGAAAGAAAACTTTATTGCAGCAGAAAACAGATTATTGACATTTTTTGAAAAATAAAGATTTCAGTTTGTAAGTTTCTAAGCATGTTGTAATTTTAATTACCTTATTAGATATTAATAATGTAAAGAAGACTTCAACTGTGTGAGCTCATTTAGATATTAAAGGAGACCAATTATGGGTCCTAGAAATTTTTATGGTATGTCTGTGGGCTATCCAGACCATGTTCATTCAATTTAATGCACAAAATAATTCTCA